TGTGATCACGAGGTGTCAACAGGATCAGGTATCAGGCATCAGAAGACCCCAAACAATCATATTGCTGCGAAGGAGGAAGGTTGAAGTGGAGACCCAAAGCCCATCTGTGATCATTGAACATCCCCTCACAGAAGGGTCATAAGAAAGGGACCAGATAGCCAGTGTGCAGTATAGCACCAATAAAACATTACTAATGTAACAAATATGAGGATGGCACGTGACCAGGTAGTGTTTCATTCTGTTGTACGCAGAGAGTCCCTATGCGTCAGAACTTACTTGATGGCACCTACCACCAGCAACATTTCTACTTATGAATTCAAGAAAATCTTGATTTTATCCCTAGGAACAAGCATATGGGATTTGCATGTGCCTTGGAGTCAAAATGTCCAAATAATGTCAAAGCAAGTGTAAGAAACAGAGAGAGTAGAGTAAGGGGTTTAATAGGATCATGTCAAAATGTCATCTTTAGTCTTTTTCCCTATGCCCTGCGTCCTCATTCCAAAAGACACAATATACTCTAGGGCGGTGGCTCTCAACCTTCCTCATTCTGCGACCCTTTCATACAGTTCCTCCCGTTGTGTTGACCCCCCCAAACATAAAATGATTTTAGTTGCTACTTTATATGGTTATGAATCAGGCAACCCCTGTGAAAGGGTTGTTCGACCCCCAAAGGGGTCTTGACCCACAGGTTGAGAACCACTGCTCTAGGTCAATGGTTCTTGACCCTGAGAATCACTTGATTACCTAAGGGGCCTTTAAAAAGAATACAGATGGCTGAGCCAAATCTTTAGGCATTCTGATTTAATTGTCTGAAGATCCATTACTCCAAGTTGGCTGATATATATGTTTAATTCTCTCATTTATTCTGCACTCTCCAACACTTTTAATTATGTTGTTCTTCATCCTTGGAATACCCTCCCCATAGCTCTCATGTCTCTATCTATCCATCAAACCCAAGCGCAGATGCTACTTTTCCTTGCAGATTTCCCCCCAATGACCTAGCCAGAATTCTTCTCTTCCTCCTCTGTACTTTGTCCATCTGTCTTCTGATTCTCATCGCTTCCACTCATACTTGGTTGAACCATGGCTAAGAAGCTGCACCAGATGGCATTGGGAGCTCCCTGAAGGAAGATCTAATACATAACCCCTCTCTTTGTACCTTCTCTGTCTAGCTCATGTCTGACATATGATTGGCATTGAGTTAGCATTTGTGGCTGGATAGTAGACAATAAGTAGATGGGTAGTAGATGGATGGATGGTTAAATATTTTCACCACATTATTGAATTAGTAATGACCCCTCTTTTTGGGATTCCAGCATGCTGAGAAGAACATCGCAAATCCAGCCTTCAGTACATGACCGAGGCATTATTGGGAGACAGAATGGAGATTACCCAGAAAGCATTGAAATGACATCTGTTGAGATGGTAAACTCATATGGCCACTTTGAGCCATGTGCTCCTGGACCTGGCTATGGTAAGCACTTGTTAAAGGATTTTATTGGGGAGAAATAGTAAAAAACACTAGACTCAGGGAGTCTTATGGATTGATATATGTTCCCCCAAAGAGTAATGTTCTAGCCTCTAGTCCCTGTGACCACGATCTTCTTTGGAAATAGGACCCTTGAAGATGTTAACAGTTCATCCCAGTAGTGTCCTTATAAAAGAGAAAGACCCAGAGAGGCACATCGGGTGAAGATCGCCATGTGAAGAAGCATTTACAAGCCAAGGAATGCTGAGGAACCCCTGAAGCTATCAAAAGACTAGGCAAAATCACACGTGAGAACTTTCAGAGGAAATACAGCCCCACTAACACCATGAATTCAGACTCCTGGTCTCCAGAACTGTGAGACAATAAATCCTGGGCCTGGTACTCCTACATCACCCACTTTGTGCTCTTTTGTGATCACAACCTTGTGGTTTTGCCCTGTGCTATCTAGTCAACTGCAACTCTTAGCGCCCCCGTAGGACAAGCGAGAATTGCCCACATAGGGTCCCCTAGGCTGTTCTCCCACGGCCTGCCTGGTGGTTTCAAACTACTAACGTTTGGGTTAGTAGCCAAGTGCTTAAGCACTGCACCACCAGGATTCCTTCATGCCAACTCTAGCCACAGTTAGCAGTCAGCATTGACTCAGTTGCACCTGGCAGCCACAATCAGACTCTAGCAGAAGGCATGATTCTTAAGAACTGTAGCGGAGGTCTTCAGCCTTGCGAATTCTTCCTTTCATTGATTCAATATCGCTCCTCTGCCCTTTCAATATCTTATTTATTTTTTTAATCCTACTGTTAATCTTCCGGATTTCCACTTGCTATTTTTCAATTATTTCTATTTTCCGTTTCCTTGTTAGTGTGTTCGTGTGACATCTTCCTGAATCTTTCTACAATCTTGTGGTTTTCTTTGCTATTTTCTCGATCTTTCTCTCAATCTACTGAAGTTACCTAGGTACCATTCTTTTCAATTCCTTATCAGGTAGGTGCAATGTCATTTTTTCCCCCAGAAAAAACGTCTGGCTCTGTATTTTTGGTCACTTTTTTGATCCAAGATGTATTATTTCTTCATGTGAACTCAGGTTGTCTGTTAATTCTGAGACATGATAGTGTTGTATTTATATTTCATTGGTGAGTGTATGTTGGTGTGTTTTTCCCAGGTATTGTGTTGGTTGGTTTTTATATCTGAGCAAAGTGGATGTGCTCCTCTGTTCGCTAGCTTGGCAAGACACTCGCCACTTGTCTCTCGGTGGATGGGATATGGACACATATGGATGAGAGTATGGACAGTCTCTGTTGCTTATTTAGTTAGGGGCGGGCTGGGCTAGTTGGGGCCACCACCTATCATTGATAAAATGGTACAGGAACAGGTAGTGGTTCTCATTCAGTGAAAGGGACTGCTGGAGGTACAGGTGTTGCTGGGAAGTGTGGGTGTGGTGGCCATCTCCCACTAGATTGGGCAAAATAAAAAGTTAATTATAAGTAAATAAATGATAAGTAAACAAAGTCACAAAGAAAGCAAGATAAAAGACAAGGGAAAAATACAAACAACAAGAAGAAAAGTAAAATCATAAAGGAAAATAAAAATTTTAAAGGAACGAAACTAGGTAGGGGGAAGAAGAAAAACTAGTAAAGAAAAATCATCAACAAAAAGAAGGGAAGGTGAATGAAAATAGAAATAGAAGAAAAAGGAAAACATAAGGAAAGAAAGTAAGGGAAAGAAAAGGGGAAATAATAAAAGAGGAAACTGGAAGAGGGCAGAGGCACTTGGCTGGTGCTTCTGCTGGCCAGGGAGGTGATGGGAGGCGGAACTCAGTAGAGATCAGGGTGCTCTGTTGGCCAAGGAAGTCACAGGGGTGGCGAGGTGCTTGGTCCTGGACAGACAACCTGCTAGCTCAAGGGGTGGCTCGGGGCAGGATGTCTGGTGAGCCCTGCACGTTCCGCTGGCCCCAAGGAGGCAGGGAGTGCTTTCCTCCAAAGACAGGGGTGGTATGCCCTGGGCTCCCTGTGAATGAATACATGACTCTGACCTCAGGCACAGCGCAGGTGATACAGGGCAGGTGTCCCTGGCTGGGCGGGACTGGGCGAGGCTGGGTGATAGAGGGCAGGTGTCCCTGGCTGGGCGAGGTGTCCCTGGCCACGCTTCTCATCTCCCAACATGGTGTGGGTGCTTGGACAGTCCTGTATGAGCGGAGTCAATATCAGGTCGCGGGTAGAAAGAGTTCGAGATGGTGGCACTGTGCGTGGTCGGCTGACAAGTCACAGCTCGGCTTGTCTCCTGGTTCACCACCTTTGTTCAGTTTCTTCTCCTAGTTCATATTTGCTTCGCTTCTCTGCCCGTTTGTGAAGCTCGGGGCTCCAGGACTATGGATGGACACGGTGGCTGCATCCATGGGCTCAGGCATAGGAGGATGGCACAGATCATGGATCATGCAGTTTCGTTCTGTTATGCAAAGGGTCGGAACCACTTGGATGGTACCTAGCAACAGCATCTCTGTCATTTGGTCTCCCCTGTCTTTGTGGTAGATAGTCTGTGTAGCCTGTTTGTCCAATCTGCCATCTTGCCAGCAATCACTATGCCTTTCTTTTTTTAAAATCATTTTATTGGGGGGTCGTATAACTCTTATCACAAGACTATGCTTTTCTGATAGCAATCCTGCACTCACATAAAAGCAAAAAGTGCAACATTTTCCCACCTGCTGGCATAACTACAGCAATGTCTTCATGAACTTTCTTTCTCGTGCCTTTTTCTCTCTTTCTTTCTTTCAATGTCCCATTTATTTATCTTGAAATGGTGGGTAAGCGCAGCTGCAAACGCAATCCATGGTACCTACCAAGCAACTGAACTTTTCTTGTAATATCTTGACTTTTCTCTGCTCGGGAGCACTAGCAGCATCATTGACGGCACTTTTTACCATGCTACACAAGTTCCTGGACAGGTAACATGCTTGTGTGGAGATGATTAGTACCACGTGACATTGTAAGTAGACACATGCGACATGCGAGTGTACCCCAACAGCAACGGAAGCGGGCTGTGAAAGCCTTGTGGTAGCACAGTATGCACTACAGTTGGTGTCATGGAGTTACGGCTTAGTCTGCGTCTTCATGCTTGTTTGCCTTTCTCTCAGCTGCAAAGGAAACCAGGTATGGTCTATCAGTGTTTGTGACTGTAAGTTTTGGTTGATTTTAACTTAAAAAAATTATAATTTATATATATATTATGGTAATAAATTAGGCTAGTATCTACATATCTTTTTTGTGTTCATGATATGTGTACCCTTTTATGAAATTTTTTCAAGAATTTTAGGCTATGCTGTTCATTTGTATATTTAAAATACTTGCTAAACAGCCCTTAATATACCATAATATTTAATATATTAAAAGCTTACTATGTTTGGGACTATTTTAAGCATTTTGTATGAATTAGCTGATTTAGTACCTTGAACTATCCTATGTAGAGGTCCTACCCCGACTTTGCAGACTCAAACCATTGATGTTTAGGGAGGTTAAGAAGCATGTCAGGGCACATACATAGTAAGTAACAGATTTGGGATTCGATCTCAGGCAGGAAACTCCCAAATCTCCAAAAGCGTAATTTTACACATTGTGCCCATCCAAATGTGCTAGTTTCCACTACTGAAAACTGTTTATTAATGTGGATTTGGATTGACTGAAACTGCACTGGAATGTGACAGAGTTGTGTTGACGCTGAAGGTGTATGCTGCTCCTAGCCATTAGAATCTGTCAAGAGAAAATTATATCGCCTTTCAAATTTATTCATGTGTCAGCATAAAATGTTACTATGTAATTTTCAACTCATAATAGATTGCAAAATCAATTATTTAAACTGTAATACAAAAAGATGTCGGTGTATTTTATATCACCAAACAAAGCATTGTTTTGAAAAACATTTTTCCCCTGTGTGTGACTGTGTCTCCATCTCAGGTGACAATTATTTTTGAGCGTGGCTTGTAGGGAAATGAAAAGCACTCATCGAGGCTGTTTGTGAACAACAGCACTCTCAAGTTTAGGGGGTTCTGCCCTGTTTTCCACCCAACTCTGTAACAATTTTTTTCTTTGAACTTGAGGACAGGCTCTGAGACTTAGTAACCATGCGGTGTTCAATAATCTCTAGCGTGGTGGATTCGTTGGCAACGTCTCTCCTCTTCTTTTTCAGTGAACGCTGCTTTTGCAGGTGAAAGTAGCCCTGAACATGCGTATAGGAACCCACCGTTGTCTGGACGTGACTGGCATCTGTCCCCCGAAGGTAATGCTTACAATGAACAGTGATCACTATGTCTACCGTGGGAATGAAACGTGTTGCAGGCAACCCCAGTCTTGGCCCATATCTTCTCAGCCTCAGATGGGATACTTGCTTCACTGATCACAGTGGGGTTTCCTTTGAGACATGTGGTTGCTTCTCTTCTGAACACCGCTGTCTTCATGAAGACGCTTCTGATGGCAAACGTGGCAGAAACTCAAGGAGGATGTATTGGCTCAGGCAGTGGGCAGGAAAGCTGGGGAGGCATGCAGAATTGAAGGTAAAATTGCCCTCCAGCACCAAATCCAGCGACTGGCATATAGTAGGTACTTCAGAGATATCCATTACACGAACTTATGAAATGAATTAGAAGAACCAGGACCTCATGATTTGAAGCCATGGGGTTTGTGCCCAAGATTTTGTGTGCTCCATCCATTCCTAATCTTCCTTGACTCCACTTCTCTCGAAGCTCCCTCCTCTCTATCACAAGGGAGCAGCATGAATCATAGGCCAGGCCACACACACTCTGAACTTAGCCACCTCCTTAGAAAGCCTTCCTATCTCCCTGGGTCTGTCCTTCTGTGGTGGGAAAGCACGCTGAATAGCTGTGTGCCTGGGTGTGGCACGTGCCATGAGATGCAAGCGCTCAATGTGGCAAGCAGAAACACACAATAGCTCCAAGCGCCAGAGCCTTGGCTGATGTGTCCAGTTGGTGGGGAGGAGGGTGCACTGATCAAAATGTTTTGAATCACCAAATTACCGTCATGATGAAGTGAAGGAGCAATTGGGGTGGGGAAAGATGGCAGGCCATGAAATCAGGGAGCTCCATAAGGGTCCCTGTGTGTGCAGTAAGGGAGGTCCGATCCAAAGGCAAGGATTGAGAATTAAAAAAATAAAAGACAGAGCATAAGGTTGCTAACCGAATTATTGGCCATTTGAACCCATCCAATGGCTCTACTGAGGGCCTAAGAAGGGAGGAAGACCTGGTGAGCTACATCAAAGTTGGGCTAGAAAACCCTACGGGGCAGTGGTGCTCTGTTACAAGCAATCCCTGTGCATGAAAAATCTGCCCGACAGCACCTAACGACAATATAAGGGGTAGAGAATCCCTGCTGGGGCGATGAAAATTTTCTGGAAATAGATCATGGTATTGGTCACTCAACATGGTGGAT